TATTGTAAATAGAGCTGCAATGAACACTTTGGTACATGACTCTTTTTGAATTATGGTTTTCTCAGGGTATATGCACAGTAGTGGGATTGCTGGGTCATATATGGTAGTTCTATTTTTAGTTTTTTAAGGAACCTCCATATTGTTCTCCATAGTGGCTGTATCAGTTTACATTCCCACCAACAGTGCAAGAGGGTTCCTTTTTCTCCACACCCTCTCCAGCATTTATTGTTTGTAGAGTTTTTGATGATGGCCATTCTGACCGGTGTGAGGTGATACCTCATTGTAGTTTTGATTTGCATTTCTCTAATGATTAGTGATGTTGAGCATCTTTTCATGTGTTTGTCGGCAATCTGTATATCTTCTTTGAAGAAACGTCGATTTAGGTCTTCTGCCCATTTTTGGATTGGGTTGTTTGTTTTTCTGATATTGAGCTGCATGAGCTGCTAGTAAATTTTGGAGATTAAACCTTTGCCAGTTGCTTCGTTTGCAAATATTTTCTCCCATTCTGAGGATTGTCTTTTGGTCTTTTTTTTATGGTTTCCTTTGCTGTGCAAAAGCTTTTAAGTTTCATTAGTCCCACTTATTTATTTTTGTTTTGATTTCCATTTCTCTAGGTGGGTCAAAAAAGATCTTGCTATGATTTACGTCATAGAGTTTCTGCCCATGTTTTCCTCTAAGAGTTTTATAGTGTCTGGCCGTACATTTAGATCTTTAATCCATTTTGAGCTTATTTTTGTGTATGGTGTTAGGGAGTGTTCTAGTTCAATTCTTTTACATGTAGCTGTCCAGTTTTCCAGGCACCACTTATTGAAGAGGCTTTCTTTTCTCCATTGTATATTCTTGCCTCCTTTATCAAAGATAAGGTGACCACATGTGTGTCAGTTTATCTCTGGGCTTTCTATCCTGTTCCATTGATCTATATTTCTGTTTTTGTGCCAGTACCATACTGGCTTGATTACTGTAACTTTGTAGTATAGTCTGAAGTCCGGGAGCCTGATTCCTCCAGCTCCGTTTTTCTTTCTCAAGATTGCTTTGGCTATTCAGGGTCTTTTGTGTTTCCATACAAATTGTGCAATTTTTCTGTTCTAGTTCTGTGAAAAATGCCAGTGGTAGTTTGATAGGGATTACACTGAATCTGTAGATTGCTTTGGGTAGTACAGTCATTTTCACAATGTTGATTCTTCCAATTCAAGAACATGGTGTATCTTTCCATCTTGTTTGTATCATCTTTAATTTCTTTTATCAGTGTCTTATAGTTTTCTGCATACAGGTCTTTTGTCTCCTTAGGTAGGTTTACTCCTAGGTATTTTATTCTTTTGGTTGCGATGGTAAATGGGAGTGTTTCCTTAATTTCTCTTTCAGATTTTTCATCATTAGTGTATAGGAATGCAAGAGATTTCTGTGCATTAATTTTGTATCCTGCTACTCTGCCAAATTCATTGATTAGCTCTAGTAGTTTTCTGGTGGCATCTTTAGTATTCTCTATGTATAGTATAATAAAATCTGAAAACAGTGACAGTTTTACTTCTTCATTTCCTATTTGGATTCCTTTTATTTCTTTTTCTTCTCTGATTGCTGTGGCTAAAACTTCCAAAACTATGTTGAATAACAGTGGTGAGAGTGGGCAACCTTGTCTTGTTCCTGATCTTAGAGGAAATGTTTTCAGTTTTTCACCATTGAGTATGATGCTTGCTGTGGGTTTGTCATATATGGCCTTTATTATGTTGAAGTAGGTTCCCTCTATGCCCATTTTCTGGAGAGTTTTTATCACAAATGGGTGTTGAATTTTCTCAAAACCTTTTTCTGCATCTACTGAGATTATCATATGGTTTTTATCCTTCAATTTGTTAACATGGTGTATCACATTGATTGATTTCCATATATTGAAGAATCCTCGCATTCCTGGGATAAACCTCACTTGATCATGGGGTATAATCCTTTTAATGTGCTGTTGGATTCTGTTTGCTAGTATTTCGCTGAGGATTTTTGCATCTGTGTTCATCAGAGATATTGGCCTGTAGTTTTCCTTTCTTGTGACATCTTTGTCTGGTTTTGGTATCAGGGTGATGGTGGCCTCGCAGAATGAGTTTGGGACTGTTCCTCCCTCTGCTATATTTTGGAAGAGTTTGAGAAGGATAGCTGCTAGCTCTTCTAAATGTTTGACAGAATTCGCCTGTGAAGCCATCTGGTCCTGGGCTTTTGTTTGTTGGAAGATTTTTAATCACAGTTTCAATTTCAGTGCTTGTGGTTGGTCTGTTTATATTTTCTATTTCTTCCTGGTTCTGTCTTGGAAGGTTGTGCTTTTCTAATAATTTGTCCATTTCTTCCAGGTTGTCCATTTTATTGGCATAGAGTTGCTTGTAGTAATCTCTCATGATCCTTTGTATTTCTGCAGTCTCAGTTGTTACATCTTTTTCATTTCTAATTCTGTTGATTTGAGTCTTTTCCCTTTTTTTCTTGATGAGTCTGGCTAATGGTTTATCAATTTTGTTTATCTTCTCAAAGAACAAGCTTTTAGTTTTATTGATCTTTGCTACGTTTCCTTCATTTCTTTTTCATTTACTTCTTATCTGATTTTTATGATTTCTTTCCTTCTGCTAACTTTGGGTTTTTTTGTTCTTTTTCTCTAATTGCTTTAGGCATAAGGTTAGGGTGTTTCAAATTATTCTTGTTTCTTGAGGTAGGATTGTATTGCTATAAACGTCCCTCTTAGAACTGCTTTTGCTGCATCCCATAGGTTTTGGGTCATCATGTTTTCATTGTCATTTGTTTCTAGGTATTTTTTGATTTCCTCTTTGATTTGTTTAGTGATCTCTTGGTTATTTAGTAGTGTATTGTTTAGCCTCCATGTGTTTGTACTTTACAGTTTTTTTCCTGTAATTGGTATCTAGTCTCCCAGTGTTGTGGTCAGAAAAGATACCTGATATGATTTCAATTTTCTTAAATTTACCAAGGCTTGATTTGTGACCCAAGATATGGTCTATCCTGAAGAATTTACCATGAGCACTTGAGAAGAAAGTGTATTCTGTTGTTTCTGGATGGAATGTCCTGTAAGTATTTATTAAGTCCATCCTGTTTAACGTGTCATTTAAAGCTTGTGTTTCCTTATTTATTTTCATTTTGGATGATCTGTCCTTTGGTGAAAGTGTGGTGTTAAAGTCCCCTACTATTCCTTGTTACTGTCGATTTCCCCTTTTGTGGCTGTTAGCATTTGCCTTATGTATTGAGGTGTTCCTATCTTGGGTGCATAAATATTTACAATTGTTATATCTTCTTCTTGGATTGATCCTTTGATCATTATGTAGTGTCCTTCTTTGTCTCTTGTAATAGTCTTTATTTTAAAGTCTATTTTGTCTTATATGAGAATTACTACTCCAGCTTTCTTTTGGTTTCCATTTGCATGGAATATCTTTTTCCATCCCCTCACTTTCAGTCTGTATGTGTCCCTAGGTCTGAAGTTGGTCTCTTGTAGACAGCATATGTACAGGTCTTGTTTTTGTATCCATTCAGCCAGTCTATGTCTTTTGGTTGGAGCATTTAATCCATTTGCTGTTTTTTTTTAACATCTTTATTGGGGTATAATTGCTTTACAATGGTGTGTTAGTTTCTGCTTTATAACAAAGTGAATCAGTTATACATATACATATGTTCCCATATGTCTTTCCATTTACTTTTAAGGTAATTATTGATATGTATGTTCCTATTACCACTTTCTTAATTGTTTTGGGTTTGTTTTTGTAGGTCTTTTCCTTGTCTTGTGTTTCCTGGCTTGAGAAATTCCTTTAGCATTTGTTGTAAAGCTGGTTTGGTGGTGCTGAATTCTCTTAACTTTTGCTTATCTGTAAAGGTTTGAATTTCTCCACTGACTCTGAATGAGATCCTTGCTGGGTAGAGTAATCTTGGTTGTAGGTTTTTCCGTTTCATCACTTTAAATATGTCCTACCAGTCCCTTCTGGCTTGCAGAGTTTCTGCTGAAAGATCAGCTGTTAACCTCATGGGAGTTCCCTTTTATGTTATTTATTGTTTTCCCTTGCTTCTTTTAATATTTTTCCTTTGTATTTAATTTTTGATAGTTTGATTAATATGTGTCTCGGCATGTTTCTCTTTGGGTTTATCCTGTATGGTACTCTCTGTGTTTCCTGGACTTGACTGACTATTTCCTTTCCCATGTTAGGGAAGTTTTCAACTATAATCTCTTCAGATATTTTCTGGGACCCTTTCTTTTTCTCTTCTTCTGGGACCCCTATAATTTGAATGTTGGTGCATTTAATGTTGTCCCAGAGGTCTCTGAGACTGTCCTCAATTCTTTTCATTTTTTTTTCTTTATTCTGCTCCTCAGCAGGTATTTCCACCATTTTATCTTCCAGCTAACTTATCCGTTCTTCTGCCTCAGTTATTCTGCTATTGATTCCTTCTAGACTATTTTTAATTTCAGTAACTGTGTTGTTCATCACTGTTTGTTTGCCTTTAGTTCTTCTAGGTCCTTGTTAAATATTTCTTGTATTTTCTCCATTCTGTTTCTGAAATTTTGTATTATCTTTACTATCTTTACTCCGAATTCTTTTTCAGGTAGGTTGCCTACTTCATCTTCATTTATTTGGTCTTGTAGGTTTTTACCTTGCTCCTTCGTCTGTAACATATTTTTTGTCGTTTTTTTTTTTCTTTTTTGATGGGTGGTGCTGTATTCCTGTCTTACTGGTTGTTTGGCCTGAGGCATCCAGCCCTGGAGTTTGCAGGCAGTTGGATAGAGCCAGGTCTTGGCACTGAGATGAAGACCTCCTGGAGGCCTCACTCCAATTGATATTCCCTGGGGTTTGAGGTTCTCTGTTAGTCCAGTAGTTTGGACTCAGAGCTCCCACCACAGGAGCTCAGGTCTGACCTCCAGCCTGGGAACCAAGATCCCACAAGCTTCGTGGCGCAGTAAAAAAAAAGAAAGAAAGAAAGAAAGGAGCAGTACAATATCAAAGAATAATAGGAAAAATATAATTGAAACAACTGCAACAAGGTAAAATAAAACCACAACAGAAAAAAGAAAAGAAAAAAGGGGGGGGGGAACAAGCGAAAAGGAGAGAATAGTAACAAAGTATAAAGAATAAAATTAGAAAAATAAAAGATTTATTAGGAAAAATAAAAATATGAAAGAATCAACTGCAGTGAATCAACAAGGTAAAACAGAACCCCAATCTAAAAGAGGAGAAAATAAAATAAAATAAAATAAAATAAAAAAGCCTTGACTATGGGGGCTTTAGGAGGGGTGGGGTTTAGGAGGGGTGGGGTTTAGGGTGGGGCAGGCCCTAGGTGGGTGGGTGGGGGTGACGTTTGAGCATGGGGAGGGGCCTAGGCTCGGGACACACGCAGCCAGAAAAGGCTTTGGGGGCAGGGCCTAGGCAGGGTGCCGTTCAAGCGTGGGGTGGGACCTCTGCTTAGGATCTGCACAGAAGGGGAGAGGCAGCACGTGGAAAGGGGGGCTTTCGGAGTGTGGAGTTCCAGAGTTTGGAGGTAGAGCCCTGGGTGAGGATGTGTGGGTGGGGTTTAGCCCCAGCGCGTTGGAGGGGGTCTCAGAGGGGGTCACAGAGTGTAGAGGTGGGGCCCTGGGTGGGGGTGTAGGGGCGGGGCTTGGGCTCTACGCATTATAAGGGAGGATCTGAGGCCCGGGAGCCCAACAGGCTCCCCGGTGCCTAAGTGGACAGGGAAAGCGCTGGCCCCGTTCCCTTCCGTTCCTTTGTGCCCCTCCCCCCAATCTCCCCCAGGGTCTCCCCCGTCGCCGCTGGACCCCTCACCATGGGTGGGTCCCGCTGGGTGTAGGAACTCCTCCCCTACCCCAGCCGACCCTCAGGGGTTTCGGTCTCGGAGGTCCGGCCTTTACTTTTGCTCTGCCTTCCCTCCCTCCCACTCCCACAGGACCCGCCCAGCTGGAGGGGGCCTCGGTGGGCAGAGGATCAGGCCCAGGATCTCAGCAGGCTCTGGGGGGCCCAAGTAGGCAGGAGAAGCCTGGCCATGCTCCCTTTTGATCCTCCGCCCTCCCAATGGTCCCCCAATTTCCCCCTTCGGGTGTGGTATCCCTTCCCCTCCCCTAGCCGCCCCTCAGGGGCACCAGTCCCGCCTGGCCTCCACTTCTCCTCCCCCTTCACTCCCCTTTCTCTCCCCGCATGCCTCACATCCTACCCGGTCACTGGAGGTTCCTCCCGTTCCCTTAGTCGTCCATGGTCCCCCACCAGTGCCTTGTAGGTGCCCTAGTTGTGTGGAGACACGAATTATGCGTCTTCCTAGTCCACCGTCTTGACTCCGCCCATTTCTCCTTAAAGCAGAGAACAAGAGGAACCCAAGAAAGGGCTTATTATTTTCTAATGGTTACTTTGGAAAAAAAAAAAAGGTTTTTGGATTTAAACAAATTGTTCATGCAAGGGAGTAGTATCTCATTAGGGGACAAGTTACCATATTGTAGAGAGCAGTGAACTTTTTTTCTGCCAGCTTAGGCATCAGTTCCTTCAGGATATTCTCTGCCCAAGCTCAGTATGGGTTAGGTGTCTCTCCTGTATATTATCAAGCACCCTTTACCTCCCCATAGTACAGCACTTACCACACCAGATTATACTTCCTTGTCTACCCCTGCAGTAGAGACTGTGTGTGTTCACCAAACTCTTTCCTTTCTTTTCTGCATACTCAGCTATGTTTCCCAACCTCCTCTGCAGTTAGGTGTGGCCACATGTCTCAGCCTGGTCAGTGCAATGTGGGTAAAGTGATGTCTGCCACTTCCAGGCTTGGCCGTATCATGAAAACTACCCGTGCAGTCTCCTAACTCTCTTTTCAATCTGCTGGCTGAATGGAGAGGGCTCTGCGGACATAAAAGAATGTGGAAGGAGCCTGGGACCCCGAAGGTCTGCATGGAGCAGAACACCCATCCTCTCATCAGCCCAAATCAGACTGAGACGAAACGAGTGAAGAATCTATTTTTTATTGAGCTAAGCCATCGAGAATTAGGTGTCTGTGTGTTTTCATTAGAGAAGTTATCCCACCCTGACTAATACAGTTCCCCATTAGAACCCAAACCTCTTCAAAATAGAAACCTCCTCTATCTTTTCCACCACGGTATTCCTTGCTTTGGCATAATGCCTGTCACATCACAGGCACTTAATATATTTTTTAATGAAATAAATGTAATTCTCTCAACATGTGTCAGGTACCTACTATGTGCCAAAATAGCTTTAACTTTGCAATGATGTATCAGTAGTTTCTGATATCTCCTCAGAGCTCTACATTGAGACTAACAGTAAATCCTTTTAAAAGGGGATTGGGGTCACCTAGGTTGATCATCCTCCTTGGCAACAAGGAAGGGAGGAAAGAAGCCGACTCTCACTTTTAAACCTTGCATTACTGAGAAGAAGACCCCCAGGGGGCAAAGTGAAAGGTGGAAGCTTTCTCCCAATTTTTATGTGTTTAAAAGAATACTCAACAAAACATTTAATGGTCAAAAAGGTCAGTGTCAGTAAGGTGCTATGATGTAGAGTGAGACGGGAATATTCTTACTTTTATTCCCAGCACACATTATGTGCTAGCATTGCTGAACCTCTAAACAATGTTTTGGAGTAGTTTTTGAAACACCAGTGATATCACCTGGGATATCTCTTTAAAAATGCAAATTCTGTATTTTTAACCAGAATCTTCCTGCCCAGTAAAGTATGAGGAACATTACTACCTACTCTGCTTTTTTTTTTTTAATTACTGTTTTCCAACAGGTTAATTGGAAACAACTTTAGCATCTCCCTTTCTATCAAATCCCTTTCCCTTTTAACTAGCTAATGTCCCTGCTAGGAAACTATCCCAAAATAGCTATAGGGTTTCCTTCCTGCTGGTACTGGTTGGGGTGGGACAGTTACAGGCCCCTCCCTGGCCTCTGTTTTTATTGTTTTTCTTTCATCACTCAACCGCAAATATCACAAATTTTATGCTGCCAGGAAGTTGGCCCAGGTTAAGGTATTTGCTGATTTTCTTTTCATCTCAAAAACAACCACTGGAGTTCTCACTGTTAGTGAAAGTGTGAAATGATACAACCACCTCTGAAAAACTGTTTGGCAGTATCTACTAAAGTTAAACATATACCTACCCTATGACCCAGAAATTCCACTCCTAGATATCTCCTTAAGAAAAATGAATGTGTATGTCTATGAAAAGGCCTGTACCCCCAATGTTCATAGCAACTTTATTCAGAACAGCCCCAAACTTTAAACAAGCCAAATGTCCATCAACAGAGGACTGGATAAGCAATGTGGCATATTTATATCATGAAATACTACGCAGCAATAATAAAAGAACAAACTATTGATACACATAACAATACGGGTAGATCTCAAAAACATTACGCCATGCAAGAGAAGACATATACAAATGAAAATATGCTATATGATTCCATTCATATGATGATCAAGAAAAGGCAAAGCTAATTTACAGTGATATGAATAAGAATAGAGGCTACTTCTGGGTGAGGGGAGGAGGCTACTGAGCTGGAGGGGGCATGAGAGAATCTTCTGGGAAGATAGAAATGTTCTAGGTATTGATTTGGCTGGTGGTTTCATAGGTGTATATGTGTAAAAATTCACTGAGCTATATATACTCAAGACTTGTGCACTCTATTTAATTCTAGAAAGATGGCTGATTTCTACTACCTTCAAGGGGCAGATCCACATGCTTCTGCTTGTTACTTCCCTGCCCTTTCTTGTCTGGGTGGGTTTCCTCCACTCCACAGGCCTCTGCAATTTTCTGTGTTCTTGCCAGAAGTTTTCAGAAGTTGCTAGTCTCTGATCAGTCTCCCTTCCAGAGTTCTTCTCTCGTTGTCCCTGTGAGTGGTGCCAGAGCTGATCCTGTGTACAGCTGTCCCTTGGGATCCTTGGGTGATTGGTTCCAGGACCCTCTGCAGATACCAAAATGCTTGGATGCTTAAGTCCCTCATATAAAATAGCATAGTATTTGCAAATAGTCTGTGTACTTCCTCCTGTATACTTTAAATCATTTCTAGATTACTTATGATACCTAATACAATGTAAATGCTATAGAGATAGTTGCAAATACAATGTAAATGCTATGTAAATAGTTGCCTGCGCATGGCAAATTCAAGTTTTGCTTTTTGGAATTTTTTTTCAAGTATCTTTTGTTCCATGGTTGGTTGAATCTGCAGATGTGGAACCCGGGGTACAGAGGGCCAACTATATTTACCCCCATCACCTACCACCAGGGTGGGTTACTAGCTAAAACCTCACTGGTCCTCCTGTAGCCTAAAGTAGCTGTAGCTGATCCTTTCTTTATGGCTCTTTAAAATCATCTAACTTCTTTTTTTTTTTTTAACCCATTTCCATCTTTTTCACAAATTGGCTTCAGCTTCTGGGGACAAATGAAAAAAAAAGTACTTTGATTGGTGGATTTAACTAGGACCACTTGTGGTTTGGGACACAAGACCACATGGGTTTGCCAAACAGAATGAATACCGCGCAAAAGCAGGTTGCTGTGCTGCTGGCAACGGAGGATTTAGGACACTAACGGCTAAGGCTCTGGGATGCCAAGAAGATGGTTAAATAAAGTAAAGTATTACAGTTAGATGATAAATACAAAAGAGAGCACATAGGCCCAGTAAAAGTCCTCACATTTCTAGCTCATTTCATCTTAGGTTTTTGCTCAGAACTTCATGAACTATAAAATCCAGGTTTTTCAGGGCAAAAGTGCCAACCCATTTGGACAGAATTCAACTTTTGTTCCAAAGTGGAACAAATGATTCTCTGCCCACAGCTGAATCACAGCAACCTAATCCAAAATGAGAAAAACACTGCAAAGCATAAAATATTCCCTCTTTAAATTACTGAACATTCTGGGTCACCCACAGAAAGGAAAATAGTGGTGAATTAGGAGAAACTAAGGGGCCGTCTTGACTTGGAGGAGGAGTCTGTCCTTGAGGACAAGCGGCTTTCTTTGCTGATTACTGTTAATGGAAAGAAGATAGGGTATGAGAGTGGTCACTTCTTGAGGGAACCCAACTTGCTGAGGAGTCATGATGCTCTAGGCTGGCGGTTCTCAAACTCGGCCGCACGATGGAATTTCATGCGGCACCCTAAAAACCACTGAGGCCTGGATCCTACCCTAGAGATTATGATTTAACTGGTCAGGGGTGTGGCCTGGACATCAAAAATTTTAAAAGCTCCCACGTGATTTTAATGTGCCACTAAGGTTGAAAACCACTGACCTGGGTTCTAGAACCCAGACACAGCAGGGTACTTAGCAGGCTACCAAACATTCAGTAAATATTTGTTACCATTGGTCATAGTAACTTAAAAAAGAATTCTTATTGAGATGAAATTCACATAACATAAAATTCACCATTTTAAGTGTAGAGTTCAGTGGATTTTAGTGTATTCTCAGAGTTGTGTGACCATCACCACTATATAATTTCAGAACATTTCCACCACCTCAAAAAGAGACTCTGTACCTATTAGCAGGCAGTCCCTATTCCCCCTTCCTCCAAGCCCCTGGCAAACATTAATCTGTTTTCTGTCTTTACAGATTTTCCTATTCTGGACATTTCATATAAATGGAATCATACACTAAGTGGCCTTTGGTGTCAGGCCTTTTGCAGTTAGCATAATGTTTTCAAGGTTCATTCATGTTGTAGCATGTATCAGTGCTTCATTTCTTTTTATGGCTGAGTAACATTCCATGGATATACTACATTTTGTTTTTACGTTCATTAGTTGATGGCCGTTTGCATTATTTCCACTTCTTGGCTATTATGAATAATGCTGCTATGATCGTTCATGTACAAGGTTTTTTTGTGAATGTATATTTTCATGTCTCGTGGGTGTATACCTATGTAGGAGTGGCATTGCTGGGTCATGTGGTAATTCTATATTTAACTTTTGGAGGAACTGCCAAACTGCTGCCACAGTGGCTGCACCATTTTATACCTCAGTGTGTGAGGATTCCAGTTTTTCCATATTGTTGTCAACATCTGTTATTCTTCATTAAAAAAAAATATAGAACATGGATGGACCTAGAGATTGTCATACTGAGTGAAAGAAGTCAGGCAGAGAAAGACAAATATATGATATCGTTTATATGTGGAATGTAAAAACTGGTACAAATGAACTTATTTACAAAACAGAAATAGAGTCACAGATGTAGAAAACAAACTTATGGTTACCAGGGGGAAGGAGCAGGGAGAGATAAATTGGAAGATTGGGATTGACATATACATACTACTCTATATAAAATAGGTAACTAATAAGAACCTACTGTATAGCACAGGGAACTCTACTCAGTACTCTGTAATGACCTATATGGGAAAAGAATCTAAAAAAGAGGGGATATATGTATAACTGATTCATTTTGCTGTACAGCAGAAACTAACACAACACTGTAAATCAACTATACTCCAGTAAAAAAATTAATTAAAAAATAAAATAAAATAAAATATAGTATGTATGAAGTGGTACTCATTGTGATTTTGATTTGCATTTTCCTAGTGACTAATGATGCTGAGCATCTTTTCATGCACTTATTGGCCATTTGTATACCTTCTTTAGAGAAATGTCTATGTAAATCCTCTGCCTATTTTTAAATTGGGTTGTTTGTCTTTTTATTGCTGAGCTCTAAGAGCTTTTTATGTATTTTGGATATTAGACCTTTATTCCATATGTGGTTTGCAAATATTTTCTCCCATTCTGTGGATTGTCTTTTCACTTCCTTGATAGTATCCTGTGATAAGTAAAAAGTCACTTTTCTCTCTTTAGCTGGGGTAGGCACCACCTAAGATGGCTTCAAATCCCTACACCCGATATTCATGCTCTTGTGGAATCCCCTCCCCTTGACTGGGCTAGACCCTGTGACAAAATTGATGGGGTGTCACTTCCAAGATTAGGTTACAGAAAGACAGGCTTCTGTTTGCTCTCTTTTGCTCACTCTCACTCACTCTGAGGATCCTGCTGCCACGCTGGGCACTGCCCTGTGGGGAGGCCCACATGTCAAAGAACTGAGGGAAGTTTCTAGTCGACAGCCAGCAAGGAGCTAAAGCAACCACCTAAGCTGCACCCAGATTCAAGGCCCACAGAAACTGAGATAATAAACACTTAACAATTTTAAGTCACTGAGCTGTAGGTTAGCTTGTTACACAGAAATAGACAACTCGTATGATGACTTTCTGCAAAGGCAAAATGAGGCAAAATGATAAACTAAACTAAAGCTTGGCAGTGAGGCACTCTCGCCTCTAAAGTAAGGCAGCTGGAATTCAGGTGCTTAACCAAACAGTATTCACTGAGCCATCACAGCACAAGTTGTTTTATTTACTAAAGGGACTTCCAATTAAATATATATAATTTATATTTAATATAACATACATTATGTTATATATTAATATATCAAATGTAAAGTAATATATTTATCAATAAATATATGTTCATATTAATGCATTATATATTAATAGAATATGTTAAATTTAATATAATGTATATACTTATATATTGTATTAATATATGCTATGTAATGGAAATAATATAATAAAATACAAATAACTAATTTTAGATCAGTAGCACCTGTATCTCCAAAACATTCATTCAGAACACCTGAACCAGTCTGTCTCTTCCCGTCTTTCTCTTACCCACAACTGTTTGCCATACCTTCAAATTGGTGTGAGGTTACAGAATACAAGTAGTTATAATATCTGTCTAAGCAAAACAAGTTTAGGCAAATGACTTCGTTAACCAAGTAATATGCAATATACATAAAGTGACCATACGTCTCACTCCCAGGACAGTTTTGATTTCAAATCTCCTTTCTTACATGTCCTGTATGGGGTTCAGAGAACAGTTTGCCGCACATATACCACAAGGTCAAACAGCAACCATTTAAAATCTTTTGCAGGTTTAGATAATTCAGCCGCACTTCAACTAAGTTATTCCATTTGCACCAAGAGTTGGGAGCTGTGAGGGTTAATGAACCAAGAATTCGAGTTTCTGTAATTAATAAATCAATCACAGACCATCTTCAAAGCCCAGAAAGTTTCAAAACAATAGCAGCAACCTAAGAGGTCCTGTTTATGAGTTTAGCTGAGTCTAAACAAGGATAATAAGCAGGGAACTTGCCTTACACAGTCTGGGGAAAAGCCACAGCAGGATCAGGTCTAACACAAATCCCAGACAGACGCGTTGTTTTGCTCCAAGGAGCTGAGCAGCTGGCCAGAGGGAAGAGAAAGCCTTTGATATCCCCATCCTGGCCAACGCGGTCATTCCTTTCATCTTCTCTCATCAGGAACCCACTTTGTTGTCCAGTCCTGGTACAAAATACTTATTCCACAAAAGCACATGAAAGTCTGGTCTGACGATAAGAAGGGCTCTTTCCTTTTGCTTTCTACTTCTTTGCACGTTGCACTCCTTGATACTTGCGGAGCACGGAGAACAATTAGAAAAGCAAAGACAAAGAATTAGAATCACCTGAGTCAATTAGTAAACTCAATTTATCTTTTTCAGAGCCTGAGACTTATTTGGGGATATTAAAAGGCTTGGGGAGGTAGACCCAAATTCCACAAACATGGACTAAATGCAGCTCATTTCAGCACAGCACACATTGCAGGAGTGGCCCTGAGGTGGCAGACACAGGGCTGGGCGCTGGGGTGCAGGGGTGAATGAGGCCTGGACCCACCCTCACTAGATCTGCTGCTCAGCACCCAGCCTCAGTGTTTCATACAAATAGCGAGTCATTATGTTGCACACCTGAAACTAATATAATGTTAGCTGTCAATTACATCTCAATAAAAATCCTTAAATTGATACAGCTGAAAAAAAAGTTAATGGCCTTGACAAGGTTCAGGGCTGTGAGAGACGGTACGGGGGGGGGGGGGGGGTTCGTGGAGAACCCCATCAGCCCTGGGCAGTGGAAGCAGGCGAGGAGAAGTGCTTGGAGCAAACAAGAGCCCACCCAGGGCCCTGGGACTCCAGCCCACACAATGGAAACCCCGGGGGAGCTAAATACCACAGCTGCAGGCTCCCTGCAGAGTTGAGGGGAGAATGAATAAAATGCTCATCTGACAACTCACAAAAAAGGAAGTTGATGGGCTCACACACCCCCTTACCACAGATGCAGGGCCTACCCATCTTGGACAAAATTACAAACCTTTGGGTTGGTTTCTGAGACCCTTTCATATTCCATTTCTCACCCCAGTCTGCCATGGGAGGCTGTGGTCTTCTCCTTTCCCCCTCCCACCTTGTTTCATCAAAACTTACCTGTCCTGTGTCTCATTCCTTCAGGGTTTGCTCTTTACTGAGTAACCAAGGTCATCTAAGAGCATCACCAAAGAGCACGTTTACATTTTAAGACAGGCCTTCAGTGCTTCAGCCTAGAGGAGTATATGATGTGAGGATTCTGGAGAAGCACTGTGGCATTTTGGGGTAGGAGACTCAATGTATGAAGGTTTCTACCCCTTCCCTCCCCCTGCCATAGTAATATGGTTATAACATTCACCATCCTCTTAATAATTTGGACCAAACCTTTTCTATTTGATGAAAAACAGTTTTAGGGCTTCCCTGGTGGCACAGTGGTTGAGAGTCCGCCTGCCGATGCAGGGGACACGGGTTCGTGCCCCAGTCCGGGAAGATCCCACATGCCGCGGAGTGGCTGGGCCCATTAGCCATGGCCACTGAGCCTGCGCGTCCGGAGCCTGTGTTCTGCAACCGGAGAGGCCACAACAGTGAGAGTCCCACGTACTGCAAAAAAAAAAAAAAAAAAACAGTTTTAAAATTTCACCTGTTCTGGTGAACTGTGTTCAGAGGTATCCAATGTCTCCAAAGGTGGCCCAAAATGTAATAGCTGGCAATGACTAGGAACGGACGTCTCACGATGTAGCGGCGGGGATGTGACCATCACGACCCCACAGGAGCGCTCCAGAGCTGTCCTCAAAGCTGGTCAAGGCTAAAGGAAGAACAACCAGAGATTGTCAAGGGCACACCTTTTCACTCCACAAATGCTAGGGAGGACATGAGAAAACAACTCATGCTATCAGACAGTCTAAAATATACTAAGGGAGATAAGGCCTCCATACAAATAAAATACATGGCCAAATAATACTCTGAAATATAGGTTTCTTCCTTTTTCTCTGTAGGGTTCCTTTCCCTTCCTTCCATCCCAGCAGGCTCTGGCCTCATTGCCTTAAGGAAGGGATGTACAAGGGAGAAAACATATAGTTTGTAAGTATTTGCTTCTTGTTCCAAAAACTTAAGCCCATAGGGAATCCTTGGGGTGGGGTGTTGTGGAGAAGATTAAAGAAAGAGAACCCGTGTCATCCCCACACTGGAAAGTGTTTTTAACAGGTGGGAGTCTAGAGGGAAAAATGAGAGGTCGTGGATTCCAGGAGCAGAAAAGACCTGTGCCTGGCTTTGCAGCACAGTCACTACTAGTCACTACTAAGGGAAACAATCCCAGAGAGAAAATGGCTGTGTCTAGCTAGATAGGATCAAAGGCAGCCCTGCCAAAGACTCCCACATGCCACTCACAGAGGAAAGCAGCAGAAAGCGGGAGGACCTGCAGGGAACATGTGGAGAGCGATGACATGTCTAAGCAGTAACCTGCATGGACCATGGCCCAGAGGATCTTCCCCCCGCTCCCCACCACTCAACATCTTGGCACTCGGAGGCTCCCGGAACTCCCGAAAGACGGGAGGCTGTTTTTCCACCAGCTAGGCGGAATAAAGCTTGAGGTCAGAAAGCAAGCTGAGTTGGAGAGAATAAAGCCATGTTTTTTTCATAGACCTGAGTTTACACCCATGATTCAAGGCAGAGAAGGTGGTGAGTGGCCAGAGGAGAAAGGATGCAAGTGGCTCCAGGGCTGGAGGAGACTGGGATCTGATTGTGAGAGCAAGTTTGAATGCTCTAGGATTACGGAGCTTCCACTGACGAGAGGGGCTTACTGACCTGGTTCACCGCCTGAGTGAAAGCTGTGTGTTCTGATGAAGTTAAATGTGTGATTGCTGATCAACAAGATACTAACAATAAAGCATATATGTTTGTTGATGTGGTGAATCCTGTAGTGAGAATTTCTAAGATACAGGGTTTACTTCCTAAATAAATGGAAGAAGATTTGGAACTTTTCCTATAAAGAGTGAAATGTATTCCTCTGAGTAGATTGACTTAAGGTTCATGATAGTCAACCAAATGGGAAAGCGTATTTTGGCAACGGGTGTAAGACATTCTGTTGCTCTCATTTCGTTCTTAATCCTTACACCCTTGCAAAATAAACAGTGCACCTTTAAGCAAAGTAAATAAAGAACCGAAAGCATGTTTTAGCCTGATTTGTGTTGGATGATTCAAGAATCAGCAATCTCTTTGTCCACCAATTTAGTTTTTTTTAATTAAAAGACTTTATGAATTGGGGGGCAGTTTTACGTTTTCAGACAAATTGAGTGGAAAGTACAGAGTTCCCACATACTTCCTCACCCCTACTCCCCACCCCCCAATTTCTCCTGCTACTAATATCTTGTATTAGTGTGGTACAATGGTTATAATTGATGAGCCAATACTGATAATTATTATTAACTAAAGTCCATTGTTTAAATTAGGGTTCACTCCTTGTGTTGTATAGTCTATAGGTTTGACAAATGTATAATGATATACATCACCATTACAATATCATGCAGAATAGTTTCATTCCCCTAAAAATCCCCTGTGCTCCATCAATTTATCCTTCCTCCCTTCCCCTCCCGAAGCTGGTGACCACTCCAATATGCTTTTATCATTAACACAAACAACTCTGGAGAAAATGAGGACCCAATGAATATAAGTCCTATTTACATAGGTTTAAATTAAGTCCCCATCTTTATCAGTAGACAAGCTTGTATTTTGTCCATAGCTAAAATAACTGTACTATTTTGAATTCTATCAATAATTGTTTTCAATCAACATTATTTCATAGATCTATTTCTAAGTGAACTATTTCAATGTGAACTATTTCACAAATCTATTTCTATGTGAACTCAAGCAGAGTTCACATACTTATCATCTCTGATCTTGTCATAATTTTAAGGATGAATTACTTTATAGTTGCCATGAGTTTGCAGAATTAATTGCCCTACAGTTTTGAGATGTTTGTTCAACTTCTAGCTCTTCTACGTAAACACCTGCCATTGAATTGCAGTTTGATTCTTTGCTCATGAACTAAATGATGTCTTAGCTTTTGTCCACCCTCTTACAGAGAGGTCATATTTTACTCAAGGAACAAGTTTTGGGAGATCTCTCATAAATCAAGCTCATTTTACCAAAGGAATAAAGAGTATGAGGAATGCATTTGTAGAGTACAAACATCTATAACTATTGGAGCACATTTTTACTTTAATGTTGCTTTTAATTTTTTTTTTTTTTTGCTTTTAATTTTTAAGCACTATTTAAAATTTTTCCTATAGGGCTATCCTTTAAATTAATAGCATAGTATTAATTTGGTTGATTGGCTTTATTCATACCAATTTATCTAACTTTTATTCTGAACTTTTTGATTTATGGTTGCATTTTTTAAGCCCTGATTTTAGCAATATCATAACTTGAATAATATTTTTATAGGATTTATAAAATCTTTCAAATTATAGTAATAGCATATGTGAGAATAACAATGTAATAAATGCTAAATTTCAAAGAGAATTTCAGATGTCTTCAAATAACCATAGCTCTCCTGACACGGAGGATGAAGATGATTACAGCTTGCCATCTAAAGGGGCACTGCCAGGTGCTAGGCAGCAATAGAGAACAGTTTACAGGTCACTTCCTTATGCAGCAAGACAGTATTTCTGACATACTATTGTGGGGACCTAGAGCTGATATGAAGATTATTTTAAGCTGAAGCATTTGAGATTCAACAGATGTGGAAAGAAGCCTTCTCAGAGCTTCCCTTAGCTGACTAAAAGCAGCAACATTTGGGAAATAAGGCTGCCATAAATCCCCTGTCTGGGGTAGTTTTATGGCTGCGTTGGGTCTTCGTTGCTGCGCGCGGGCTTTCTCTAGTTGCGGTGTGCGGGCTTCTCACTGCGGGGATTTCTCTTGTTGCGGAGCATGGGCTCTAGGTGCGCGGGCTTCAGTAGTTGTGGCACACGGGCTTAGTTGCTCTGCAGCATGTGGGATCTTCCCGGACCAGGGCTTGAACCCGTGTGCACTGCACTGGCAAGTGGATTCTTAACCACTGCACCACCAGGGAAGCCCATCACCAACTTTCTTACCTCCCATTTGTTCTCCTAAAAATCCACTTGTCTTTCCTAAAGAAACCTATTTGTCTTCCCATAACACCTTTTTTCCTCCCTTGTCTCTACTAAGTTAGTCCATAAACCTCTAAATTTAACTATTTAAAGAGCCGACTACTGCTTTTGTTGGTTTTCATATACATACGAATAAACCTTTTTCTCCTGTTAATCTCTTGTGTCAGTTTAACTCACAGGCCCACAGACACTAAACCTAACAGAGTAGAGTAAAAGTTTTTCCTTTCTAACATTTTAGATTCACAAAAGTCAAATTTGCTTACAATGCATTTCCACAACTAAATGCACCCCTCAGCCTGCCCCGCTGAAAGTCATGTTCCTTAAAAACACGAGAAGTTTATTTTGTTCCCTTAAAGCTGCAACTCATTTTATCTGATCATCAAAAAAAAAAATTGGGGGGCTTCCCTGGTGGCGCAGTGGTTGAGAATCCGCCTGCCAATGCAGGGGACACGGGTTCGAGCCCTGGTCTGGGAAGATCTCACATGCCGTGGAGCAACTAGGCCCGTGAGCCACAACTACTGAGCCTGCGCGTCTGGAGCCTGTGCTCCGCAACAAGAGAGGCCGCGATAGTGAGAGGCCAGCGCACCACAATGAAAAGTGGCCCCCACTTGCCGCAACTAGAGAAAGCCCTAGCACAGAAATGAAGACCCAACACAGCCAAAAATAAATAATTAAAAAGAAAAAATTTGTGTGTGTGGAATATAAGCTGTGTTTTTTGTTTTTTTTTAGAAAATTGAGGTGTAGTTGACACACATTATATTAGTTTTAGGTGCACACATAATTATTTGATATTTGTATACATTGCAAAATGATCACAATAGGTCTAGATAACATCCAAGTATTTTCTTTTTTTCAACATGAAAAACTTCCAAGGAGCTGGACAACAGCAACTAATTTAAAGAGGTTTCACCCTGGCTGTGCAAGAATCAGTCTGATTCTTGGGCTATGACTTTATTTTCCTTACGAAGTTACTTTGTGTAAATTGCAGGCAGGCCGTAGCTGTGGTCTGCCATTTCCCGTGCAGGACTTACAACTCGCTGCTGCAGGAAGGCCCAGGGAGAGGCTTTGAAACAGCAATTTTTCAGCTAACTTCTTACATTCATTTAGGTAAATATAGATGCTGCAGAATCCCAGCCAGCCGGCCTTAGCTGTGACTCTGGAGTGCGTGCTAGTGTGTTAGTAGTGCTGCCTACGATTTTATTCTACAAGAGTCACTCCATGTGTATCAAACCTATGTAGACTAGTTTTTTGTTTTTTTTTTACAATGGAGTTGCAGGAGTTCTTTTTACATATTTTAGAGATTAACCGCTTATCAGATTAACTCCTTTTCAGATACATGGCTTACAAATATTTTCTCCCTTTCATTCTCTAGATTGCCTTTTCACTCAGCTGACTGTTTCTTTTATTGTGCAGAGGCATTTGAGGTTGAGGTCGTTCCACTTGTTTATTTTTGTTTTTGTTGCCTGTCATATAGCCAACCTATGGAAAGAACTTAAATGTCCATCAACAGATAAATGGATAAAGAAAATGTAGTATATTCAGACAATGGAATACTCTTCAGCCTTTAAAAAAAAAAGGAAATCCTGCAATATGCAATAACATGGAGGAACCTTGTGAAATAAGGTGAAATAAGCCCGTTACAGAAAGAAAATTCTGCATAATTCCATTTATATGGGGTATCTAAAACAGGCAAATTCATAGAATTAAAGAGTAGAATGATGGTGTTAGGGGTTAGGGGGAGGGGGAAATGGGGAGTTGCTAACCAACAGGCATAAATTTTCAGTCCAACAAGATGAATAAGCTCTGGAGACCTGGTGTACAACATTGTACCTGTAGTCAACAATGAGGTATTGTACATATAAAATTTGTTAAGAGGGTAGATCTCATGTTAAGTATTCTTACCACAATAAAAAATTTTTTAAAAAATGTTAACCCATTTTAAACTAAAACAGGGAAACGGGCAAAGGAAAATACAGACACCTTGCCATGGAACATCTCAGTTGGCTGACGAATGATGGTAAAGGAAGATCTTAATATATGAAGATCTCCCGCAGCTTGGACTATTCAGCGGAAGGTCACAATATGGAGAGCCCTCAGCTCCTCCTTCTGTGAAAAGACCTCATAATCATCTACAAAGCCCTGGTTCCTGGCTATTTCTCTGACCTCCGACCTCTCTGTCCACCTCTCTACCCTTTGCTCACTTCACTCTAGAGGGAAGGGCAAAGAGAATTCAGAGATCTCATTAGTATCAAAGGAATATATAAAAGAAGCCATTCCATTAGGGATCATATTTCTTATAAATGACTCTTAACTGGTGAACCCATACTGTTTCTTTGATCTGTGGAATCTAGAGCCTTCCTACTCAAAGTGATGGGGTCCACACACCCAGAAGAAACCAACCTTGCTGAAATCTCGATCTTGGACTTCTAGACACCAGACTCGTGAGAAAATAAATTTCTGTTGTTTAAGCCACCCAGGCTGTGGTCCTTTGTTATGGCAGCCCTCCGAAAACTAATACATAGCATCAACATCACCTGGGAGCATCTTAGAAGTACTGATTTTCAAGCCCTAACCCAGACCTACTGAATCAGAATCTCTGGGGAGTGAAAGCCCAAAATCTGTGTTTGAACAAGTCCTCTGAGTGACTCTTGTGCAGCTAAAGTTTGAATAGCACTGATCTGGAGCAGTGCTTCTTCAAGCTGTGTATCAGCATCACCTGGGCAACTTCTGAAAGAGAGCAGTGCCTGGGCCTCACCTTAACAATTTGGTCCAGTTGCTTGAGCGCTGGACGGTCAGGGTTTGCATGGGCAGACCTGGTTTAGGTATTTTCTTAAGCTGCCCTGTTGACTCTAAGGTATAGCCAGGGCTAAGCTCCCCAGGTCTAGAGCCTGTTGGCATGATGTGGAAACCTGCAGAAGATATGACTGAGTGTAGGTACTTCGGGTAAAGTGGGGCAGCTTACTAACTCCCTAACCTAAGGAGCTTCACTGGTAGTGTGTGATTTCAAAAACGTACCTTATTCCTTCTCTAGAGATAATGACGCATACCTCTTCCACCTGCAAATCCCCACCTCCTCTCTATGACTGGGTAAGACGGTTAGTTTTATATGTCACCTTGACTGGCCATGGGATGTCCAGACTAAACATTATTTCTGGGTGTGTCAGTGAGGATGTTTTCAGATGAGATTAACCATTTGAATTGGTGGACTCAGTAGATGGCCCTCCTCCATGTGGATGAACTTCACCCAATCCACTGGGGACCTGAGTAGAACAAAAAGCAGAAACAGGTGGAATTTCCTTCTTTTTTTCTTACCTCACTGCTAGAGCTCGGACATCTCATCTAATCACGTCAAGCCCCCAGACTGGGATTTATATCATCAGCTCCTCTGGGTCTCAGGCCTTCAGACCCCAAATGAATTACACCACTGGCTTTGCTGGGTCTCCAGCTTGCAGACGGCAGATCATGGGTCTTTCTCAGCCTCCATAATCTTGTGAGCCGATTCCTCATAATAAATCCCATTTAGATAGATAGATAGGATGAAAGAAAAGAAAGAGACAAAAAGTGAGAGAGGGAGGAAGGAAGGAAGGAAGGAAGGAAGGGAGGGAGGGAGAAAATCCCCTACTGGTTCTGGAGAACCCTGGGCAAGCACAAATGCCAAGGAGGTAAGAGCATCTTACTAGATGGGAGCAGCCTGACACCAGATTGAAAGGGGGAAATTCAGGTGTTCTGGACCTAGTGTTACTGTCCTTAGTCTTGCATGTAATTGGGCACGTGCAAGGCTCCTCAAGAACAGCTTAGGGATGTATGGGGCCATTTCTCCTAAGGGATTAGTAAAGCTTATATTCTAAGCTTCCAGGCTTCCTGTTTAGGATTTTATAAACTCCTCCATGCTGAGGTGTAAATGCCTGATTAGGTTTAGTGAGGTACCCTTTATGCCTGTGTTTACATTTTAAAAAGGGATAAAGCCTTAGGTTATGAGAAAACAATTCTGGAGATGGAATTTTATGCACTAGCAAACTGGCAAGAGAAATGGGGGTTGGACTGGAAAATAATGCACTAATAGCAATAATCACTGAACATTTATCAAGTGCTATGACTATACTTAGAGCACTTCATCCATTGTCCCATTTAATCCTCACAGCAGTGCTGGAGGTAAAGGGGAGAACTTGAACCTAAACCATCTGTGCCTACACAGATCACTGTCTACATTAGCATGACTTTTACCCACAGCCTTCAGTAATAGGTTTTTGGAAACTCTTGCCCAGGAAGATGAAGTTACATACAACTTTTGTTATTGTCATGAAAGTACTCCACTGGTCTCATCAATTCTCAAAGACTCCTTTGGAAACCCTCACCCCGCTGTGTCTGTCAAGTCCTTGCACAATCCTAAACAAGCCGAAAACCTTTAAATACCCCACCACTGCCCTCTCTTTACTAGATGCTTCTAAAACTCTGCTGAGGTAGGGATCTCCCTTATCTCAGTGAGCTATAAACTCAGCTTTGCTTTGTCCACAAGCTCTTTGGTGGTGCTTTGGGGAGCAGCATTTGACAGCATTATTCTTAGCTCCATTTTGCAAGTGAGGAAATTGAGGCCCAGAGGTGTTAGTTAATTTATCCAAAGACACAGAGCTAGTAAGTGGCTGGTCCTGGGTTCAAATCCTGCCATTCTGATTCCAGAAAGCACATTCCCGGCCACATCTACACTGCCTCCCTGTATTATATGAGATCATATAATACAGTCACTTATTCGTTCTCTACCAGCGATCAACCAAGAAAAATCAACACAAACTGTGAAAGAACATGTGTCTTCAGCCTCCCTCTCCTTACTGCCTGTGCTATGTCTCTGCTGTCAATGGTGGTCATAGGCCAGGACCTCCTCAGATAGGTCCTTAGTTGCAAAACCCCGTGGAAGGAGGAGGGGGGAGGTAGGTAAGGTGGGAGGCTCGGCTCTGTCAGTGAGCAATGCACTCCTCTGCCTCAGTTCATGCAGCTTCTTACTAGACAATCACGGGTCACGGGTCACTTAAAAATCCCAGAGAAGCCAGAACTTAAAATGGCTCCCTGACCTAGGCCATGCTTGAAGCTTTGCTGAAGCCAGGAATGTGGTGCTTTTAAACTATCCAAGCCCCAGGGCACTCCTGCCTGCTTAGATCATTACAGAAAACGCGGTGTGTTACCTGGGGTCTGTTACTGCTTTCCTTTCATGTCCATCTGGCCAAGCCTCAATCACCCTCTCCCTGTTCACAGAGCAGCTGCCCGCCCACTGCCTATGTGTCCCTGGTATCCTGGGGTGAATTTGCTCCCCACTTCACACTGAAGACCAGCTGCTTCTTTCTGCTCCCCTGCTCCCCCAGCCCCCTTTCTCTGTCTCCAGCCTTCTGCCTGCCCTGTCTTGCAATCCCTAGGATGCCCAACATCCTGACACTTCCAACAGACCACGCCCTGGCAACAGAGAGCAGGCAGGCAGGCAGATGCATGCTGCTACGGGTGGGGAAGTTTTCCCACCTGGCAGCACCTCCCAGACTGAGAAGAAAAACCAACACAGGGCTTCCCTGGTGGTGCAGTGGTTGAGAGTCTGCCTGCTGATGCAGCGGACACAGGTTCATGCCACGGTCCAGAAGGATCCCACATGCCGCAGAGCAGCTCTGCTTGTGAGCCATGGCCGCTGGGCCTGTGCGTCTGGAGCCTGTGCTCCGCAACGGGAGGGGCCACAACAGTGAGAGGCCCTCGTACCACAAAAAAAAACCCCAAAACAAAAAACAACACAAACTGTGAAAGAATGCATGCCTTCAGGCTCTGTCTTCTTACTGCCTGTGCTATGTCTCTAAGGATGGTCATAGGCCAGGACCTCCTCAGATAGGTCCTCAGGAAGCAAAGCCCTCTGAAGGAGGAGGGGAGAGTTAGGGAAGGTGGGAGGCAGCCCACTCCTCTGCCTCAATTCATGCAGTTTCTTACTGGCCAGTCAGGGGTCACTTAAGTTCAGGTCTGCTGTAGGTTAGTTCACACAAGTTGATAAAGGCACTTAAAACAGCTAACTGAGGGAGAAGTGTGTGCCTGCTCCTTTAGCAGACCCTAACCAAGTACTTGCTCACAAACCTCTGAAAATCAGCTGGCTGCAGTCTGAACCCCTTGCTGCCCTCCCTACCACCCACGGCTCCAGTCTCTTACTCTTACTTACTTTCTCTTACTCTTATTCTTACTCTCTTACTTCACTGTTTCAGTTCCACACTGCTGAATAACAAACCAACCCCAAAGAGGAGCTTAAAACCATCATTTTCCTTCCTGACCTTTCTGTGGGTTGGCCGGGCAGTCCTTCTGCTGGTCCTGCTGGCTCACTCACATGGAGGCATTCAGCAGAGGGCGAGCTGGCCGCCGGGCTCAGAGGGGAAGTCTGGACTTCTCTTGCTATGAGGTCTCTCAGGGAGGCTGGGTTTCTTTCCATGCAGGTCTGGAGCAGCATGCCAAGAAGGCAAGGCTGCTCAGGGCCTGGGCTTGGAAGTCATGCAATGTCACTTCTGCCACCTTCTGTTGATCTAAGCAAGTCACAGGCACCCCAGACTCAAGGCATGGGGAAGTGGACTCCACTTCTCGATAGGAGGATTGTATTTTCATTGGGACTACAATGAGTACCACCAGAGGAAGTAAACTCCATTATCCAAAAAGATGTGAGAAGCATCTTAATATCCACTAATAATAATGACTAAGAAAACAAAACCTACTTACCATGTACTGGATACTGTGCTAAGTACAATACTTCACAAGAACCCAGTGAGGTAGGTGTTAGAGATGAACAACCGTGCTCCCGTTTCCATGTGGAGAGGGAGAATTGCCCAGAGAAGAACTTACTGGTTTTTGCCCTCACCCACCCCTATTTCCTCCCGTGGGAGCAGTGACTCCTCCCCTGGTTAATCTAGGAGAAGGAGTGCATTTCTCCCTCCTTGCGATCTTAGAGCCATAAGCAGAGTGTGTTCAGCCTGCTCCGGGGGCAGGTGTGTCTGGTGAACTGAGCCAGGGGCTCAGTTCAGTTCAGGAGGAGGGGGATATTAGAAATCCAATTGGTCCACCAAAGTCACCTTCTCCAAACAGCTTTACCAATTGTAAATGAGTTGTTTTGAACTCCATCTGCCTGGGTTTCTCAATTGTTTCTTAACTCAGGCAGGGAAAGGATGGGTATAATGTACTGGAAACTCCCTAATCTTGACAGCAAACACTATTAGCCCTTTTTCATTGAGAAGTTAAGTAATTTGTACAGGGTTGCACAGCTAATACTTGGTAAGGCCTCATTCCAGACCAACCACCTTGAACCAGAAATGGAATTGCCTTCACCCCCTCTCTCCTGGACTGCAGGAAGCCATGTAATATTGGTGCTCCAATTTTATTTCCTTCAACCAAATCCAGGTTAACAAACAAGTCTTTAACACCTTCTCTGTTCCCACTTGTTCACATCTTGTGTGTCAAGCACTTGCAACCTAGAGGTCGACAGAGGTATCCTGACCTTTGAAAATTTAATTAGAGTTGACTCAAAATCCCTCCCCCACCAGAAGTGTGGGGAAAGTCCTGAGTCCCTCCCATTCCCCTGGATTTGGGGTGGGAACACCAGTTTATCTCGTTTTACCTTATTTCTAGTGGGTTGTAAATCCACGATCCTATTTCCATCAAATTATAAACTAGCTCACCATCTTGTATGTGCTAGTTCTTCCCCACACTGTCCCCAGCCATGGAATACAGACACATTGCCTTGATTTCTCCCCTTAAACAGCCCTAACACCGAATGTGTGGGAGTGAAGCAGACCTGACTGGCATGCAGCGTTGGGGGAGTTCTGAGTTGCTCAGGCCCCTCAAGCCTCTTCTGAGACCTGTAACGGTCCATCCTAGCTCCCCTCCTATCTTGCACTTTATTTTGTAAAACTTCAAACATATCTAACAGAAGAGAGACTATTGAATGAATAGTCTAGACAATGAACCCTAGGATTCCATCACTTAGTTTCAACAATCACCAACTCACAACCAAGAGTCGTTTCCTCTATACCCTCATCCACTCCCCTGTTGGGATTATTGCAAAGCAAACTCTAGATATCACTTTATTCACAATTGTCTCAGCTTGCATCTCTAAAAGAACTGCTTTTAAAAGCATAACCACCATACCAATACCCTTCTAAATATAATTAACAGCAATTCTCGAATTTCAGCAAATATCAAGTCAGGATTCCCCCTGTCCTGGTCCTCCCTCTTACCCCGTAGCTCCAACCACAGCTAACTGAGATGACTTGCACATGTACACCTGCAGCAGGTCTAAGGTCTCGACGCTACAACACAGACCCATGTAAGGACTGCCTACCTGAATCCGGCCGACTGCTCCATTGGGCACAGTGGGCCCATTGCCTACAGACCATAACATTTTCAGGAGATTACAAAAATGTTTGAGTTCTTTTTATATGAGAAAAAAAGATGAACTTTTAATTTGAAAAAGTCTTAATATATAATATTTATATATTCATCTTTATACTAATGCAGTCATAAAATATAATTTTTAATATTATTTTAAGGAAGAAAGGAACCAGAAAAGCAAAAGTGCCTAGGGTCCCTGAAAGTCGTAATACAGCCCTGCAGCTGCCATCTCCTTTTAGATGTCTCAAAGGTGTCCTCTAATCTAAGTGTCCTGAACTGAACTCATGCTTTTCCACTCTTTTCTTCTGGTCATCTCCCGGTGTTCCCTACGTCAGTGAAGGGCTCACTGTTGTGGGAAAGATCAGTCAAATGAGAACACACCCAGGCTGTTTATTCAGAGCCTGCTATGGCCAGGGAGTCAGCCACCATTACTTGCAGTTGGCAGAGACTCAAAGGCAGAGGAGCGGGACAGCTTTATAGTGGGGGGGGGGGGCAAGGGGGGAAGGGGATGGAGGCTTTAGGAATACTCTGTTAGACCCTGTTGGCATGGGAAAGGTGGAGACAGCCTAACTAGAACAACTGTGCTCAACTAGAAACAACAACTAGAAAAAGGGCATCCTATGCAATTGGCTTGGGGAATATATTTGGCTTTCTCTACTTGGTCCTGAGATGGAAGTGGGGGCAAAAAATAGGTATCAATTAGGACCACTGGCCAGATCCTGACCATTCTGGGCTGATTGCTGCAGAGGCTGTGGTTTGGATTCCTGACCTGGTTGCTGCACAGGTGGTGAGTCAGAGTTCTACTGTCATATGTGGCCTGGCCATTGTCCACTTGTATATTCAGACCCTCACTATCTATATATTGTTTCATAAGTTAGAAATCGAGGAATTATCTTGAATGCTTTTCTCTCCCCAACCCCACATCCAATCCGTCACCAAATCCTGTGAAAATACACCTCCTCAAATATCTCTCAAGGCCTGTCTCTTCCTTGCATCTCCACCATGGTACCATCAAACTATTTTCATCTTTCATCTGATCTACTAAGTAGCCTCCTAACTTGGTCTATCTACCTCCACTGCCCCCTCCCCAATTTATTTGTAGAAGTAATGTTTTCAAAAGGCAACCATGGTTACATTATCCTCATGCTTAAATTATTTCAACAGCTCCCACTGGTTTTAGTATAAAGACTAAAACCTTCAAGGTGGCCTCCAGGGCCCTGTACAGTCTGGCTTCCATCTGCTGCCTCCTCACTGATCACACAACCCCTTTTTTTCTTCCCATCTGAGCCACGCTGGCCTTTCAGTCCCCAACAGCTCTACCCATCTGCCACAGGGGATTTACTGCAAGGCTGTGCACAGCTCCTGAGGCAGATGAACAGGGGAGGGCTGCGGTGGGGGCCTGGGCAGCTCCAGGTATCAAAAGTAGGAGGAGAACAGTGAAGTCTCATCAGGGCACCACTACTGGGAACGACCGCCTCCAACTACCCCTGCCTCTGCACCGCTCTGCCCATGATCCAAAGCCCCAGAGGACAGTTCAATGAGCTGGCTCAGGTCACATGCCCATCCCTCGGCCAGGGTACCTGGAATAAAAGTCTCAATAAACCTTTATCGATGAAGAGAAATCCCCCAAAGAAAATTGGGAGTTCTTACCAGAAGGAGGAGGAATGGGTGCAGGGTCGCCCCCAAATCAACAAATATCCACTAACCACATTTCCCACTACCTGGGCTGATTTCCTGTCCTTTCTTTGTTAGTTAACACTACTTAATTTTTAGATTCCAGCCCAACGTCCTTTCATTAAAGAATCCTTCCCTCACCTTCCCAAGGGAGTCAAAGTTCTCTGTTCTGTCATTTTATAGCACTATAACCTCTCCTTCATAGCACTTGCCACTGCTGTATTTTACATTTATTTGTGAATGTGTGAATAACATCCATGTCTCCCAATTGGCTAAATAGCCTATGAGAGCAGAGCCCATATATGTCTGGCTTACTATGACAGCTTTAGTGCCTAGCACAGTGCCTGGCAAAGCAAAGACATCAAACAAACATTCACTTAATGTATGAATCAAGCCATAAAGATATTTCTATTCCCAGTGATATGAAGTATGCCACTCCCCCCTTAGAAGGCAAAAGGAGCTAAATTTTAAACAATTTTTTCCAATTCATACTTTATTACATAATGTTCTTATTTACTCTTTACAATAATGCCACAGGAGCTCACTTTATACATAAAGAAACTGAGGCACAGGGAGTTAGGGAATTTTTTCAAAATCACATACCTGGTAAATGATCCACGTGGGATACAAACCCAGGTCTGATTCCAAAATTCAAGTTCAAATCTACCATATGATGTCATATACCAATCTCACCTCAAAAAAAAAAAAGTGGTTGAGGTAAACATATATATATATATATTTTAAATTATATAATTATATAATCTATATAGTTATATAAAATTCTTCCTCCTAGTTCCAAAAGAAACTATTTAGAATTGCTACTCATTTTTAAAACAATCTGGAGAGATTGTTCAACATGTTTAGTTTCAGTCCTTCAGATAAAAATCCAGAGTACCGAACATTTCATTGATTGTTCAAGAAAAGCATTAAATCCATGGTTAAATCACAATAAAACAACACCTGGATGATTCATAGTTTAGCACTTTTATAGTTAAATAAAGGTACATAACTTCTAGTTCTGTTTTTCAGTAAGAAATCTAAACAAAGTAGAATGTCTTCTCTATCCCTTCTTATAGTATAATTGAAGGTAAAACTAATAATATTTGGGAATTAAAGAGGTTAAAATTATTACTTAAATGTGAGGTATTTCTTTGATATTACTTTTCTTTTTTTTTAATAGATTTTATTTATTTTATTTTTGGCTATGCTGGGTCTTCGTTGCTGCACGCAGGCTTTTCTCTGGTTGTGGTGAGCAGGGACTACTCTTCATTGCGGTGCATGGGCTTCTCATTGCGGTGCATGGGCTTCTCATTGAGGTGGCTTCTCTTGTCACAGAACACAGGCTCTAGGCGTGTGGGCTTCAGTAGTTGTGGCACGTGGGCTTCAGTAGTTGTGGCACACGGGCTCAGTAGTTGTGGCGCACAGGCTTAGTTGCCCCGCGGCATGTGGGATCTTCCCGGACCAGGGCTCGAACCTGTGTCCCCTGCATTGGCAGGCGGATTCTTAACCACTGCACCACCAGGGAAGCCCCTTACTTTTCAATTATAACTATCAGAGTAATAGTGGTCAATTATTACTCACTAGTACACTATTTAAATTTAGTAAAATACAACACCCATTAACAACGGAATGCTTTCCTTTTTACCTCCCTGTAAAATGTGCTGTTATTTATTAAATAGAGGTATTCATTTTGGCACTTTAAGGTCAGTTGACTTTCTTCATACAAATTTTAACACTACCTTCTCTTTTGAATATTTAGATGAATATATTTAATTTTTCCTACTGTTCAAGAAATCAAAACAAAACATATTTTATATCAGCATTTTAATGAGCTTTGCTTTAATGATTAATTCAATGTGAAGTTAGTCTATACCTGAGTTATGAAAATAGAAAATAATTATTCAGATGCTTGAGTTAGGGGTACAATGATAGTCAAGTATAACAAAATGCTGTTTAATTAAACTTATCTAGTGGGAACTTTCAGTTAAGCTTTCATTTTGTTTTCGAGAACCAGAGGAGGGAAGAAGGGAATATTATCAGGTAAGGCAGAATAAAACAGTTTTAACCTTCATCTTTTGTCCTGAGAAATTTCAGGCCTTCCTGAACTAGTGGCTTTAAAAAAAAATCCTTCGATAGTTTAGGTAGACCATGAATAGTCTCACTGATGGCATATTCCAAAATGAACAATCTTAACTTACCTAAATTTCACAAATCTAATAATAACATTCTCCACCTTTCTCCTAACAGGGAGCTGAAAATCACTCCAAGGCTTAACAGAGACAGTTAATACAGTAGTCTGGGAATAAAAGCTGCAGAAAGGTGGACATTTACAGCTATTACACTCGACAGCTAAAAGGGGTGAGAAGACATTTGAGCTTCTTAGCGAAGTTATTATAACTTTTGGTAGTTAATCACAGGCCTCTGTAGTATTCCTCAATGAGATTATTTAATTATAATTTAACCACTTCTTTAACGGATTCAGGAAGTTTTCAATTTACACGCAAACACGTAATAAAGACAAATACAGACACACGTTTATGAACATGCACACACATATACACTCCACGGAACAAGTAAAAATAAATTCAGATTAAAGTACCGGAAACCAAGCAGAAGAGGGGCACAGATGAGCTGTCAATCTCCTGCGGTGGTGGTGGAGGAGGGGATGATGGTGGCGGCTGTTATTGCTTGGTTTCCTGCTATGACTAGTCGTGATGCTAGGAATTTTACTTGCTGAGGGGCTCACCATGTTTGAACATTACATTCATTAGGCTCTAAGATTCTTGTATCCAAGTCAAAGGGAGGAAATAGGCAAAAGGTGAATATAATTTAATTTGAATTATAGATTAATTTTTAAATCTGAATTTAAAAACAGAACCGTAATTCATGGCAAGAAACAATCTGCTTACATGTAGTTTGAATATCACAGACTCTCACCTTTCTTACTGAATTTTCATAGATATCCCTGAATAGATGTTTTTCTTCATTTGTTGTTTGTCCTAAGGGCCATTTCCAGAGGCTTTAATTTAAAAAAATAATAATATTCACTGGAGAGTGTGGTCACTGGAGCTCCCATGACACCTTGCTGGAGGTCCATCTCTTCAGAGTACTTTTTAATGGATACATTTCATCATGTTCTGAAACATACAAACATTGAAGGTATCTCAGAAATGTACTTGGGTTTTATAAATGTCATGACTTATTCTAGACCCAGACAAATTCCAGTTGGACTTTTTGTCCTGCAGTAATCAATTTACATACTAGGTTCAATTTGGGCAATTTAGGTGATTTATTCCAATAGTACAAAAAATACACTTGCTGTGCAATCCAAGGATGGACAAATCTACCACGGGCCTATCTCAAAAAGCAATGACCGTGAAAAGTGACTGTCTCTCTTCCTGTTTGTTGGATTCAAATTCAATAGCTCTAGACTTGTTTATTTTCATTAGAGCTAGGAAAAGAATTTAGCTTCATTTTAATCAATACACCTACCTTTTTTTCCTACCTAAAAAAAAAAAAAAAAATACTAAAACAAAAACCAACCAAAACTATTGTATGGTATTGCCTCTCCAGGACACTAGTTATCTCTCTTTTTTTTTTTTTTTTACTAGTTATCTCTTTAACATAAAGGCCTTAGAGATAGAACTCATTCATCTGTAAAACTGGTTTTCAAACAAGTTCATTTTCATGTAAATCTAGATAGGCCATAAAAGTTAGTTTACTTTGTAAAATACTAATCCATGGAGAGAATAAAGCAAATGAAATAAAAACTCTGGGCAGATGCAATCTGACAAAGCATTATAATGCTTACCAAATGTTTAGCTGCTTCTGTCATTCATGATAGATGACACTGAGCATGAGTGAAGGAACAGAAGTTGGTGGAGATGTGATCATTTAAGGTAACGTACTCCCTCAATTTCATCTACAGATTATATAAAGCATTTTGACTTAGCCACAAAGGCTTCACCATTTCAGCGTTATTTCTTGGTAATGAGGGGACGTTGGAAAAGTAACACAAGGAATGATTTCAGTTCTCAGGATTTATTAGAGAAGGCACTGAGGTGAGATCAGCTACTGGAGAACACAGATCTCATGGGGAAAAGAAAAGCAAAACCAGCAAATATAAGGAAGAATGTATCTTCAGGTCAGTCAGAGCAATGAGACAGCCAAGATGCACGTGAGGAGATAGTAAGGATAATAAGGCAGGCTATCATTTTCTCTTTTATTGCATGCTGGAGTCCCCAGACCTGCTAAAGACATGATTACCGGTAACAGCAGCAGTGGTATTCCCTAGAGGTCTCGTGTGCTTTGAGGGAGTGGGGGCTATAAACTAACAGTACCAGACAAGGGAACTAAGTCATCTAATATGTCTTCTAGAAACATAATGAGTTTGACTGATGTGGCTTTCTGTGCTTAACGCGTAAGAGGTTGTGCCAACTCATGGATCCTCGGAGAACACTGTGCTTTCAAAGCAGCTGGCTTGACTTTAAAGACTTCTGGATCGTAATATACAATACGCACAGGAGTCCTGAAATGGAAAAAAGGATTTGACCTAAAATAAGATGAACAGAAAAGGGAACTAACATTTCTCAGGCATCCACTATGTGTTAGGCACTATATTATCTCATTTTGATTTTCTTAAGCACCACATAAAACAGGTATCATGACCTCCACTATACATATAAGGAAATGAAGGCTCAGGGACGTTGTAAGAGTGACATGTGGTCAAGTCTAGATGTGTATATGTGTCAGATTCCGAAGGCTTTCCTCTTTCCATAGAAAATAAATTCTGGAAATTTCTCAATAACTTGACGATGTTAAAACAAGCCAGACAATCCACTGGTGAACTTAAAGAAATCAATTTTTTGAAGTTTTCATCCTTAATACCTTAACCACCAAATAATAATCTTGCTACCAGGACAGACTCTTGAGCACTTGGTCTTACTCCTCACTTTCCTTTGTCAGTGTACAGAGAATGAATGTCATTTCATTTGATGTTGAACTTTTTTTTTTAAGGAAAAACACATTATAAAAATCTGGACTTCCCTGGTGGTGCAGTGGTTAAAAATCCGCCTGACAATGCAGGGGACATGGGTTCGAGCCCTGGTCCGGGAAGATCCCACATGCCACAGAGCAGCTAAGCCCGTGCACCACAACTACTGAGCCTGCGCTCTAGAGCCTGCGAGCCACGACTACTGAAGCCCGTGCGCCTAGAGCCCGTGCTCCACAACAAGAGAAGCCACCGCAATAAGAAGCCCGCGCACCACAACGAAGAGTAGCCCCTGCTCGCTGCAGCTAGAGAAAGCCCATGCACAGCAACAAAGACCCAAGGCAACCAAAAATAAATAAATAAATAAATTTATTAAAAAAATAAAATAAAAATTAAAAAAATTTTTAAAAATATTTTATTATATAAGACCAAACACATTTCCTATTCCCTGAGCTCAAGACTACTACTTTTTCAGTTAGGTTTTCTTGATGGTGCTTTAAAAAGGGGATCAGGTATTATCCCTTGAAGGTAACAAAATGAATTGAGGTTCAGGCAAGTTGAGAGGTCTTCTAAAAAATGAGTAGGAATTAGAGGCAATTTCTTCTTTGTTGAATATATTTTCTGATTTATTTGAAATAGTTCATACATGTACATGATGCAAAAACATTGAAAAATACAAAAGCCTATTTAGTGAAAAATAAGTCTTCCTACCATCCTGGCTCCCTAGGCCCCCAAAGTAACCATTGTTACTAGCTTCTTACATACTCCTGTGAGATAGTATAGGCATATGTAAGCAAATATATGGCATATATGTATTTTTTTCTTACACAAATTACAACATATTATGTTTCTGTTCTGCAACTTATTAGATCAATATATGTTAGATAAATAATCCCATATCCATAATTACAGAGTTGTCTCCTAGGTCTAAAGTTCAATACTAGTCCACTAACCCTTTAACTGTAGCCTTATATTTATGGTAAGAAGACCATAGATTTGTCACAATAAATGTAACAAATAAGATGATTTTTAAAATTTTTACTATTTCTATGATTCATTTCACTGAACTTAATAGGTCAACTTTTCCCTGTCCCTAGCACCCCCTGCCTTTCCTGTCCCATCTTAGCCTCAGATTGACATACCTTGTATTTGGATTAGCTAGTTCTTGAATTCTGGGAGATACCTTGGAATGGATAGCAGCACAAGATACTGGCCAGTAGGCATCACGGGGAGGTAAATAATCTTGATGAAGAGGCCTGGGCTTAGCTAGAGCTAGTATTCGAGAGCTAGGTTTGGCGAGCAAGGCAGCACAGGATATCTATAGTGGAAAACAAAACGACACAAAAACATACCTCAAATTTCACCACGTCTCCCTCTATTTTCAACTATAGCCCTAATCGAGTCACCATCCTTTCTCTCCTGGATTACTGTAAGAGACTCTCCTAACTGATCTCCCTGCTTCCATTCTCACTCCTCCACAACCCAGCCTTCACACAGCAGTTACTGAGGGAGAGAAGGAGCATTTTAACAAGTGTATTCCATGAGCTAGACAGTGTTCTCAGCGATCTGCCTAAATCATTCCCATGCAATCACCGTAACAACTTCATGAGGGAAGTACTTTCCAAGGCCCAAGCCAGATCATGTCACTCACAGTGTTCAAAATCTTCCAGTGGCTTTCCATTTTGCTAAGAATAACACCTAGGCTCCTTACTGTGGCCTAGAAGGTCCTACATGATCTGCCTACTATACCCTCCTCCAACCTCACCTTCCTCCCATCCCCACCTCAATCACTATGACCCTAGTCACACAAGGCCCCTCTGGCCCAGCTCTTTCCACCTCAGGACCTTTGCATTTACTAGTTCTGCTTGAAACCCTCTTTCCTCAATCTTGTCATGGCTGCCTCTTCGTCATTCAAGTCCCTAGACTCAAACATCACATCCTCAAGGAGTTCTTCCCTGACCATCCAAGATATATCAGCCTTTCTAACTACCCTCTTCCACAGTACTTATTTAATCTTCTTCATAGCACTTAACAACACCTGACTTAGCTCATTTATTTCATTGTTGGTTATGTTTACTGTCTGTTTTTCCCCACCAGAATATAAGCCACTTGAGAGAAGTACTTGTTTGCCAAAAGCTAGACTAGGCTCTGTTGTATAACTGGTGCTGAATAAATACATTCTGACTGACTGACTCATCAACTCCCTTTGGTCTTACTTTGGAAACCACATCCGCCAGGAGGCCTTTCTATTATGTTGCTTTACTGGTAAAATAGAAAAGATGACATATAGCTACTATTCTCTCTCTCAAGTGCTCATTCAAAAGAATGAGGACCACAGCAAACACCACTCAGTAGCCCTGAAAATGTTCTATACTTGCACTGATACAGATTAGTCTGGGTTCTCAGAGTATGATTATGTGCCACGGTATCACTTTTTTAAAGGATTTTTTAAAACCCCCGAACAATCCACTGAGCATGCCAGGCTCTGTGCTGAGCACCTGCCTTACCTATTATCACAAGTCTGAACAGCCCTGAAACTGGGAACTGTTATCTTCACAATCCCCTTGCTCACCTTGCTCCACCCAACTTCAAAGCTATCCTACTTAAGGACTTTGTCATGTGCTCTTCCCTCTACTAGAACATTCTCTTCTCAGATCTTCACTTAGCTGACTCCTTCTCATTATTCAGGTTTCAGCTCAAATACCCCTTCCTTAAGAGAGGCTTTCCCTGACTACCGTATGCAAAGAAGCTTATTCTCCACCCCCAGCCATAGTCACTCATTTCCCATTTTATTTTTTATTTTTTTCCATTTTATTTTCTTCATAGCACTTACCACTACCTGACATTATCTTATCTGTTTCCTTATTTATTTTCTGTCTCCTTCCATCTTGTTCACTGGGCACGGTGCTGGGCACACAGTAGAGATTCAAATCCTTATTGAATGAATAACGCTCAGGAAGGTTATTACAACATCACACAACTAGTAGTGGTGAGGCAGGAATTTGAACCCAGCTCTTACTGACCCCAAAGTCCATGCTCATCACCCTCTACCTGCAGCCCCTCTCCATATCTTGCAGCTAGGTCTTCCTTCCTGCCACAGACCACTCTTTCAAGGTTTTCTTTTCCAATGACTTTGGTCTATACCCTATAGAAGCAAAACAACACCCTAGGAACAAACAGAAAGTGAGCTGAAGGATGCCAAGGTAGTGATGGCTTACAGGACGGATGGGCATTTCAATTCTTTCTCTTTCAAAGCACAGACCCTCTATCTTAATCCTTGGATAGGCAAGGTCTACAGTTCTTGGAGTTGCAACAGCAGTCAGGGCAGACGTCGCAATTTTGGTTTTAGTCTAGGGGAGAAAAAGAAAACAGTACCTGTAAGCATCAATCAATAAACACTATCGCAATCAAAGTTACAAAGTAGTATCTGACCACTGGACCAGACTTCTCAGTAAATCCAGCAAAAAGGATGAGAATACTGCAGTAACCTATGATCATAGCTGAAAGGATCAGTTTCCATCCTTCTCAAACTAGGTTGTATAAATTCCAACCCAGATTTTTTGGAACTTACTGTGAAACTAAAGATGGGGAGAAAATGACAAGTACACAAATGGACTAAGAGATAAATGGCAATGCTGATTACTAGAACAATAAACTCAGCCAAGAGGGAAGTTCTCAGCCCTATCACATGAGAACACTATAAGGGGGAGAGCTCTGCTCTGTTCTTAATTATCTTGCCCTTTGGAAATTGGAATTCACATTATTACAAATCCCCATGCTTAAAATGAATTTAAGTAGCTCTCTTCTAATTGGAATGGACAATACAAAGTAACCAAAGACAAGAGGAAGAAAGGCAGAACAGAACCATATCTCCATAGACAATGTTGTACTGGTCCCCCAAGACACTCCTCACTACCTTAATTGTGGAAATGTGTTCAAATTACATCGTCTTCTATTTAAATTACTTATATCCAAACTCAAAACTTACCACAAAACTTTGAGGTGGGAATATAATCAATAACTGGAAATGAAATAGGGTTTTAACTGTGGGTAGAAAATTAACACACAAGGTATGTTCCAAACCCCTTCTTATGTTGTTTAAAATGATGACAATGGACTTCCTTGGTGGCGCAGTGGTTAAGAAGCTGCCTGCCAGTGCAGGGGACACGGGTTCAAGCCCTGGTCCGAGAAGATCCCACATGCTGCGGAGCAACTAAGCCCGTGTGCCACAACTACTGAGCCTGTGCTCTAGAGCCTGCGAGCCACAACTACTGAGCCCACGTGCCACAACTACTGAAGCCCGCGTGCCTAGAGCCTGTGCTCTGCAACAAGAGAAACCACTGCAATGAGAAGCCCGTGCACCGCAACAGAGAGTAGCCCCCGCTCGCTGCAACTAGAGAAAGCCTGTGCCCAGCAATGAAGACCCAACACAGTCAAAAATAAATAAATAAAAATGATGACGATGATGATAGTAACACAGACAGTATTTTATACCTATTAATTCATTTATTTCTCACCTGCATATCATTTTTATTTCTATTTCACTAATGGAGAAACCAAGGTATTGTAAAGTTTGGCATTTTATTTAACTTTATATAGTTTGTAAGTGGCAGAGCTGGGATTCAAACAAAGGTCCTATCTATCTACACAATACCATGAAGTACTAATCAAGCATTTCCAATGAATAAAGCTTTGTCCCCTATCAGCCTCTTGGAAAATCAAAAAAATATATGACAACCAGTGCCTTCAATTAAGGCTTACAATCAAAAAGGAAATAAAACATCATTCATTAATTCGTTATACAAATATCTCTTAATTATATTATGTAAGACAAAACAAAGAATAATAAACAGTACCTTTCCTTAAAGTAGTTTTCAACTTAGAAGGAATCATAAACCTATAAGCAAATCACTGATTATTTGATATCCATAAAAGAGAATAAAGTTTTGAGGAATATCAGAGGAAATGTGGGAGAATCCAAGAAGAATTCTCTTTTCATGGATAAAGGGATATTAAATTGGGCCTTGAAGGAAGGATCAGATTCTGACAAGTAGAGGGAGGAGAAAAGATAGGGAGAATGAAGGAAGGAAGATTGAAGGGAAAGTCTGGACACAGAAGCAAGGAGGCATGGAGGAGATTGTGTCTGGTCAGGCAGGGAGATCAGGCTTGCAAATATATCTGAAACTAGGTTAGATGTGGAGGGCACTGCTCACAGCTAGCGAAGAACCATGAAATCTTTTCACTGGAGAGGAAGCATGGTCAGGGCTGGAGATTAATCTGTCAGGCATGTGGGAGAAAGACTGAAGCGGGAAGCCAGAAGGAGAATAAGAACGTTATGGCCAAAAGAAGAAAAGGGTATACATAACCTACCCTATTCTAATATATATATATATATATATATATATATATATATATATAT